AGTAATTTTTTTTTTTTTGAGACGGAGTCTCACTCTATCGCCCAGGATGGGGTGCAGTGGTGTGATCTTGGCTCACTGCAACTTCTGCCACCCGGGTTCAAGCAATTCTCTTGCCTCACCCTCCTGAGTAGCTGAGATTACAGGTACCTGCCACCATGCCCAGCTAATTTTGTATTTTTAGTAGAGACAGGGCATCTTGGCCAGGCTGGTCTTGAACTTCTGACCTAGTGATCCTAGTGATCCATCCGCCTTGCCTCCCAAAGTGCTGGGATTACAGGCATGAGCCACTGCACCCAGCTGATAGTAATGTTTTATATTTTGATTGTTGTGGTGATTACATGGGTATATACATTTGTCAAAAATCAAACTATACTTTTTTTTTTTTTTTTGAGATAGAGATTGCTCTGTAGCCCAGGCTGGAGTGCAGTGGAACCATCTCAGCTCACTGCAACCTCCGCCTCCTGGGTCCTGGTTCAAGCGCTTGGGATTATAGGCACGTGCCACCATGCACAGCTAATTTTTGTATTTTTAGTAGAAATAGGATTTCACCTTGTTGGCCAGGCTGGTCTTGAACTTCTGAACCTCAGGAGATCTGCCCACCTCAGCCTCCCAAAATTCTGGGATTACAGGCATCAGCCACCACACCTGGGCCATACTTTTTTTGTTGTTGTTACCAGGCTGGAGTGCAGTGGCGCAATCTCAGCTCACTGCAACCTCTGCCTCCTGGGTTCAAGCAATTCTCCTGCCTCAGCCTCCCAAGTAGCTGTGACTACAGGGTGTGCCACAATGCCCAGCTACTTTTTGTTTTTTTAGTAGAGATGGGGTTTCACCATGTTGGCCAAGATGGTCTTGATCACTTGACCTTGTGATCCTCCTGTCTGAGCCTCCCAAAGTGCTGAGATTACAGGCATAAACCACTGTGCCAGGCCTGTTTTTTTTCTTTTTTTTTTTTTTAAGATAGAGTCTCCCTGTGTTGCCCAGGCTGGGGTGCAGTGGTGCAATCTGGGCTCGCTGCAACCTCTGCCTCCTGGATTCAAGAGATTTTCCTGCCTCGGCCTCCTGAGTAGCTGGGATTATAGGCATGCACCACCACGCCTGGCTAATTTTTGTATTTTTAGTAGAGACAGGGTTTCAGCATGTTGTTCAGGCTGGTCTTGAACTCCTGACCTCGTGCTCCACCTGCCTCAGCCTCCCAAAGTGCTGGAATTACAAGTGTGAGCCCTACCACCCAGGCCAGCCTGTCTTTTTTTAAAAGTTGGGAAAAATATTGAGAAAATTAAATACACTTTTTTGTATTTTTATTATTTCTTTTTTGAGATGGAGTCTCACTCTGTGTGGCCCAGGCTGGAGTGCAGTGGCACAATCTCGGCTCTCTGCAGCATTGACCTCCTCTGGGGCTCAAGCACTCTACCCACCTCAGCCTCCTGAGTAGCTCGACTATAAGCACGTGTCACCAAGCCCAGCTAATTTTTGTGTTTTTTGTAGAGACGGGATTTCACCATGTTGCCAAGCCTGGTCTCAAACTCCTGACCTCAAGTGATCAGCCCCCCTTGGCCTCCCCAAATGCTAGGATTACAGGCATGTGCCACTGTGCCCAGCCTAGTAGTTCTCAAAGTAGATTTTTAAAAAGAAAAGTCTCCCAGCAATCTTCTCAGAAAGCCATTATGTTAAGAGTGTAGAGTAAGGCCGGGCGCGGTGGCTCAAGCCTGTAATCCCAGCACTTTGGGAGGCCGAGGCGGGTGGATCACGAGGTCGAGAGATCGAGACCATCCTGGTCAAGATGGTGAAACCCCGTCTCTACTAAAAAATACAAAAAATTAGCTGGGCATGTTGGCGCGTGCCTGTAATCCCAGCTACTCAGGAGGCTGAGGCAGGAGAATTGCCTGAACCCAGGAGGCGGAGGTTGCGGTGAGCCGAGATCGCGCCATTGCACTCCAGTCTGGGTAACAAGAGCGAAACTCCGTCAAAAAAAAAAAAAAAAAAAAAAAAGAGTGTAGAGTAGCCGGGGCATGCTCGGTGTCATGGCTCATGCCTGTATTCCCAGCACTTTGGGAGGCTAAGGCAGAAGGGCATCACTTGAGGCCAGGAGTTTGAGAACAATCTGGGCAACATAGTGAAACCCTACCTCTATTTAAAAAAAAAAAAAAGAAAAGAAAAGAAAAAAAGTTGGGCAGACGTAGTGGCACAAGCCTGTAGTCCTAGCTATGCAAGAGGCTTGCTGGAGCCCTACTGAGTTGGAGGTCGCAGTGAGTATGATTGTGCCACTGTACTCCAGCCTGGGTGACAGAGCGAGACCGTCTCTAAAAACGTAATTTAAGAGTGTTGGTGTGAATATGTTTATACTTTTTATGCACATTCAAATAAGTGGGAAGGTGGGAAGGTAAGATGCCTGGAGCTGCCGCCTCAGCCTCCGGCTTGGCACCCCAGGACTCAGCAGGCCCAACTCACCACCTTCCCTGCTCACTGGTGCTGTGCTCAGCTGCCTCTTGAGATTTTTCTGCTCCCGTTTTCCTTAAGCTATTGTCACTTCCCAATCTGAGTCTGTAATGCATATTTGTGTGTATATTTGCATGTTTGTATGAATGTGTCTGTGTACATTTTATATTAATAGGTTTTATGTTAATAGGTAATATTGTTTTTGAGATAGAGTCTTGCTCTGTTGCCCAGGCTAGAGTGCAGTGGCAAGATCTCAGCTCACCGCAAACTTCGCCTCCCAGGTTCAAGCCTATTCTCCTGCCTCAGACTCACTAGTAGCTGGGATTACAGGTGCCACCACACCCGGCTGATTTTTGTATTTTTAGTAGAGACCGGGTTTCACCTTCTTGGCCAGGCTGGTCTCAAACTCCTGACCTCAGGTGATCCACCCACCTCGGCCTCCCAAAGTGCTGGGATTACAGGCGTGAGCTACCTTGTCGGGCCCTAAATTTTATGTTAATTGGTTCCCTCTATACCACCAGTACTGGGACTTGGAATTTTTCACTCATGAATTTCATGGACTTTTAAAAATATTAGTAATATTGATCTAAATTATTCTTTAAAATATTCTGTGGTATTTTGTTATGTAGCTATACCATGATTTATTAAACTTTTTTTTTTTATCATTGATGGACATTTAAATAGTTTTCCTTTTTTTTTTTTACTATTATCAGCAAGACTACAATAAATATCTTTTGACATACATATTTGCATAATAATGCATTTACTCTTTAGGGATAGATTATCCTTTTTTTTAAGGTTAGAGTCAGGGTCTCACTCTGTCACCCAGGCCGGAGTGCAGTGATGCAGTACAAGCTCACTGAAACCTCAAGCTCCTGGGCTCGAGATCCTCCAGGTCAGTCTCCTCAGCCTTCTAGTATGTGGACTCCACATGCATGCCACCATGCCTGGCTAATTTAAAAAAAAAAAAAATTTTTTTTTGTAGAGATGAAGGCTTTTTTTTTTTTTTTTTTTTTGAGATGGAATTTAGCTCTGCTGCCCAGGCTGGAGTGCAGTGGCACGATCTCAGCTCACTGCAACCTCTGCCTCCTGGGTTCAAGCAATTCTCCTGCCTCAGTCTCCTGAGTGCTGGGATTACAGATGCCTGCCACCATAGCCAGCTAATTTTTGTATTTTTAGTAGAAACGAGGTTTCACTGTGTTGGCTGGGCTGGTCTCAAACTCCTGACCTCATGATCTACCCGCCTCGGCCTCCCAAAGTGCTGGGATTATAAGCGTGAGCCACCTCACCTGGCCCAAGATGGAGTGTTGATATGTTTCCCAAGCTGATCTTGAACTCCTGGCCTCAAGTGATCCTCCCACCTTGGCCTTCCAAAGTGCTAGGATTATAAATGTGAGCCTGGCACCTTGGGATAGATTTTTAGATGCAAAATTATGCATCTGGATATGATCACATTTCCTCTAGAGAAGACTGACTAGTAGAACTTTCTTCAGGGATGAGAATATTCTGTGTCTGCCTTGTCCAGTACTGTAGCCACTAGCCACAGGTGACTACTGAGCACTTGGAATGGGGCTAAGTGCAACTAAGGAATGCCCCCACATCTGCTCATATCTGCTTTATTTGTTTAGCTTCCATAATGATTTGCTTCCCAAAAAGTTCTGTGGCTAAAAAGTGTGAAAAGTTCTAAGTTAAGACCTTTCCAAAAGCCTTTCCAGCTCAATGGGGCCAGTCTAATTAGGCAGAGGTCAGACATCGTGGGATGTACACGTACAGGAGGTCAGTAGAATATCTGTGATTTTTTTTTTTTTTTAGACGGAATCTCACTCTGTCAACCTGGCTAGAGTGCAGTGCCACAGTCTCAGCTCACTGCAACCTCTGCCTCCTCCTCCAACCATTCTCCTGACTCAGCTTCCCGAGTCGCTGAGATTACAGGTCCCCGCCATCATGCCTGGCTAATTTAATTTTTGGGCTTTTTGTTTGTTTTTGTTTTTGTTTTTGGGATTCAGTCTCTCTCTGTTGCCCAGGCTGGAGTGCAATGGCACAATCTTGGCTCACTGCAACCTCTGCCTCCTGGGTTCAAGTGATTCTCCTGCCTCAGCCTCTTGAGTAGCTGGGACTACAGGTGAGTGCCACCATGCCCAGCTTATTTTTGTATTTTTAGTAGAGACGGGGTTTCACCATATTGGCCAGGATGGTCTCGATCTCTTGACCTCATGATCTGTCTGTCTCAGACTCCCAAAGTTCTGGGATTATAGGTGTGAACCACTGTGCCTGGCCTAATTTTTGTATTTTTAGTAGAGAAGAGATTTTACCAAGTTGGCCAGGCTGGTTTCAAACTCCTGACTGTAGCTGATCTGCCTGCCTTGGCCTCCCAAAGTGCTGGGATTACAGGCATGAGCCACTGCATATGGCCAGTATCTGTGAATTTTGATATGAGAGCAAGAACATTTAAAACCTACACATTTACAAATTGATGTTTGTTTGCTTTAAGGCCTTGGTGAAGGTTGACCAGAAGTCACCCAGTGGACTGTCAGCATCTTGAGTATCCTCTTTCTCTCTTTCAGGGTAAAAGCCCCAAAGCTGTCATCAGCATTAAGGACTTGAATGCCACCTTCCAGACAGAGAAGATAGGGCACCCACACGGGCTGCAGATCACCTACAGGAGAGATAGCCACGTCAGGAACCTGTTTGTATATCATGAAAGTGGGAAGGTGAGATGCCTGGAGTTGCCACCTCCGCCTCCAGCTCGCAGCCCAGGACTCAGCAGGCGCAGCGTACCACCTGCCCTGCTCACTAGTGCTGTGCTCAGCTGCCTCTTGAGACTTTTTTGCTGCCATTTGCCTTAATCTATCGTCACTTCTCGATCTGAGACAAAAATATGAGGAGGGAAGGGTGAAATCAGGGAGAGGAAACTGGCAAGTACCATGGCTAGCTACCAAAGCACAGTCACCAATGGAAGTCCAGTTACAGAAGTGACTGTGCCCAGGGATGCAAAGCCAGGTAGGGCCAGAGATTCTGAAACTGGGGGAGGAACTGATAGACAGTCAGGCGGCAGTGCACCCTGGGACCTGCTTCTTTTTTTTTTTTTTTTTTTTTTTTTTTTTTTTTTTGAGACGGAGTTTCGCTCTTGTCACCCAGGCTGGAGTGCAATGGCACGATCTCGGCTCACCGCAACCTCCGCCTCCTGGGTTCAGGCAATTCTCCTGCCTCAGCCTCCTGAGTAGCTGGGATTACAGGCACACGCCACCATGCCCAGCTAATTTTTTGTATTTTTAGTAGAGATGGGGTTTCACCATGTTGACCAGGATGGTCTCGATCTCTTGACCTCGTGATCCACCCGCCTCGGCCTCCCAAAGTGCTGGGATTACAGGCTTGAGCCACCGCGCCCGGCGGGACCTGCTTCTTAACATGCGGTCTTGGCCCAACAGCACTGGCATCAGCTAGGTGCTTGTTAAAAATAGTCTCAAGGCTGAGCATGGTAGCTCTTGCCTGTAATCCCAGCACTTTGGGAGGCCAAGGCAGAAGGATCACTTGAACCCAGGAGTTTGAAACCAGCCTGGTAACATAATGAGACCCCATCTTTATCCCAAAATATCCCCAAAATTAGCTACGCATGGTGGCATGCACCTGTAGTCCCAAATACTTGGGAGGCTGAGGTGGAGGATCACTTAAGCCTGGGAGGTCAAGGCTGCAGTGAGCCATGATCATGGCACTGCACTCCAGCCTGGATGACAGCACAGGACCCTGTCTCAAAACAAACAAACAAACAAACAAACAAAAAGAACAGAAAGAAAGAAAATTAGAATCTGAGGCCCACCCTAGACCTTCTGAGTTAGAAACTGCATTTAAAAAAAAAAAAAGACTGGGTATGGTGGTTCATGCCTGTAATCCCAGAACTATGGGAGGCTGAGGAAGGCAGATCAGGAGGTCAGGAGTTCAAGACCAGCCTTGCAACATAGTGAAACCCTGTCTCTACTAAAAATACAAAAATTAGCCGGGCATGGTTGCACGTACCTGTAGTCCTAGCTACTTGGGAGGCTGAGGCAGGAGGATCGCTTGAACTTGAGAATTGGAGGTTGTAGTGAGCCTGTACTCCAGCTTGGGCAACAGAGTGACACTTCGTCTCAAAAAAAAAAAAAGAAAGAAGAAAAGAAAAGAAAGTGCATTTTAACAGGATCCCAGGTGAGTCTTGTGCACATTAAAGTTTGAGAAGCATTTTTTTTTTTTCTTTTTTTTTTTTACTTTCGAGAAGTAATCTCACTCTGTTGCCCCGGCTGGAGTGCAGTGGCCTGATCTCGGCTCATTGCAACCTCCTCCTCCAGGGTTTAAGCAATCCTCCTGCCTCAGCCTCCTAAATGGCCGAGATCACACCCGGCTAATTTAAAAAATATTTTTAGCCGGGCGCAGTGGCTCAAGCCTGTAATCCCAGCACTTTGGGAGGCTGAAGCGGGTGGATCACGAGGTCAAGAGATCGAGACCATCCTGGTCAACATGGTGAAACCCCGTCTCTACTAAGAATACAAAAAAACTAGCTGAGCATGGTGGCACATGCCTGTAATCCCAGCTACTCAGGAGGCTGAGGCAGGAGAATTGCCTGAGCCCAGGAGGCGGAGGTTGCGGTGAGCCGAGATCGTGCCATTGCACTCCAGCCTGGATAACAAGAGAGAAACTCCGTCTCAAAAAAAAAAAAAAAAAAAAAAATATTTTTAGTAGACCTGGGGTTTCACCATGTTGGCCAGGCTGGTCCTGAATTCCTGACCTCAAGTGATCCACTCACTTCAGCCTCCCAAAGTGCTGGGATTATAGGTGTGAGCCACTTCTCCCAGGTGAGAAGCACTATTTAATAGTCCAAGAAATCAGCCCAGTCAGAGACCAGCAGGCCAATATGAGAGAATAAGCTGGGTCAGCTTCTGAGCAGAGTTACCTGACTGGACAGGGGACAGAGATGCTAAGTGGGGGTGGATGAAGGTGGTTGCTGACGTTTTGTGAGCATCTATTAATTCCTTTGGGCACTGCTTTTGGAGATTGCTGTCCATCATTTCTTAATCCTCAAAATAAGCCCTATATTACTGAGGCATGGACATGTTAGTAACTTGCTCAGGATCACAGCTAATGGTTCCTGAGCCCTGCACCCACTTTACCACTCCATGTGCCTCTGTCTTGTAGGGAGGACCCTTGGCAGCAGGAGCCAGGAACTAGATGCAGGAACTAGACCTTCCCAAGGGGCCCTGGCACCACAGCCCTAGCTCATACTCCATGCCAATCACTGCCACAAGGACTTCTGTTGAGGCACCCAAGGTCTCTGGTACTTAGGATACACAGCTCCCTCCTATCTGCCCAGTATGGTGCATCTGACAACCTGGGTCTGGCCATTCTTTTTTGCTTGATACCCCAGCCTCTCTGTTAGATGAGCGTAAGTGAGGGCTGCAAATTCCTGCCTGCAGGAGTCAGGGGGTGATTTTTTTTTTCCTTTTTCAGTTTTAATTTTTTTTAAATATAGAGACAAGGTCTCAATATGTTGCCCAGGCTGGAGTGCAGTGGCTATTCACAGGTGCCATCCCACTACTGATCAGCACGGGAGTTTTGACCTGCTCTGTATCTGACCTGGGATGGCTCACCCCTCCTTAGGCAACCTGGTGGTCCCCTACTCCTGGGAGATCACCATATTGATGCCAAACTTAGTGCAGACACCTGATCAGCATAGCGCAGTACAGCCCAGAACTCCTGGGCTCAAGCAATCCTCTTACCTCAGCCTCCCGAGTAGCTGGGACTACAGGCACAAGCCACAGTGCCCAGCCAAGGGGTAATTTAAAAGCTAAGTGGGGCCAGACTACTCAAGACGCTGAGGCAGGAAAATCGTTTGAAGCCAGGAGTTGAAGATTGCAGTGAGCCAAGATCATACCACTGCATTCCAGCCTGGGCGACAGAGCGAGACTCCATCTCAAAAAAAATTAACTAAAATAAAAAAATCTAAGTGAACGGGTGTAAGGGATGGGGAGGGGGCTGTGACAAACAGGGAAACCTGCATGGAGGATTAAAACAAACAAAACTTTGGGAGCCAAACAAAAATGTATGCAGGTTGGATTTGGCACCAGGGTCACCAGATTGTGACTGGAGAGTCCTTCCAAAGTGAAGGCCTAGGCTTGTCTTTTCTCCTCATTCCCTTAGGGCCTGAGACCTTCCAAGGTTCTTTTTTTTTTTTTTTAGATGGAGTCTTGCTCCGTCACCCAGGCTGTAGTGCAGTGGAACAATCTCAGCTTACTGCAATTTCCGCCTCCTGGGCTCAAGCAATTCTCCAGCCTCAGCCTCTCAAGTAGCTGGGATTACAGGCATGTGCTACCATGCCCAGCTAATTTTGTATTTTTAGTAGTGATGGGGTTTCACCATGTTGGTCAGGCTGCTCTCAAACTCCTAACCTCAGGTGATCCACCTGCCTCGGCCTCCCCGATTGCTAGGATTATAAGCATGGGCCACTGCACTTGGCCAGTGGGTTCTTAATGAACACCAGGACAAAAGAGCACAGAGCCCTGGAATACTAGCCCTGTGTGCTTCACCTATGAGAGAGAAAGGGGAATGGTTTCATTCATTTGAAACCACATTCAGATGATTTTCTCAATCGCCATATTATATCAAAGTCCCAAACTCTGACGATTTGAACCAGTCTTTTAGCCTCCCAATTTCAAATTCCTGGGAGAAGGAATCTGATAAGTGCAGTCCAGCCTCTGTATTGGTCTAGGCCTGGTCCAGTTGCTGTGGTTAAGCAGGGGCGGGATCACAGCAGTGAGTGGCGCTGCAATTGGAGGTGGGTGAGGATAGGTAGGGTAGTTCTCATAGGAGCAGGGCTTGGGCTGAGCAAGCACTGACAATCTATCTATTACAACATCAAAACTAACCTGCAGGATAAGTAGAATACTTTAGGTAAAAGGTATGTGTGGGATCGAGTGGATTAAGCAGAATGTCCCAAGAGGAAGGAACAGCGGGTGCTGGGATAATTGCAAATAGTTTTGCGTGGAAGGAGCTCAGACAGCAAAGTCATACTAAAGAACTTAAGACTTTTTTTCTGAGGATAGTAGACAGGGCTCTAAGCCAGACTGATTAGATCTGTTTTTCTATTATCTGATTTTCTGATTAGAAAATCACTCTGGCTGCTGTGAGAGGGCCAATCGGAGAGGAGCCAACCACGGCCAGCTAGATACGTGGTTGTCTGGGTGGCAGATGAAGGTGGCCCACACTGCTGAGAGACGTGTTCTCCCAGAGTGACAGCAAAAGGGGCGAAGCCAGCTTTGGTCTAAGATGCCATGAACAGCCTCATTAGAGGAGCCTCCCCAGGCATACCTGCTCCTCACCCAAATGCCAATCTTTGACATCTGAGGATAATGATTTCCTAGAGCCTTGCTCCTTCGAGTGTGTTCCACTGATTAGCAGCGTCATATCACCTGAGAGCATGTGTTAGGAATGCAGAGTCTTGGGCCCCGTTCCAAACCTACTGAATCTGCCTCTGCATTTTAACAAGAGCCTCAGGTGATCTTGCACGCATTAGAAGGTGAAAAGCACGATCTGAGGCCATTGCAGAACTCCTGTGCGGTTCACCCTATCCTTTCCCAGGGCTCTGGGATATCCCTGTCAGAGGCTTCCTGTTTGCCCAGGTTAGCCCAGGAGGCTCTGACATAGTCCTCCCTGGATGCCCCTGAGCTGAGCTGTGGGGTGTGTGCAAGCGCTGAATGCCTGTGCTCTACCACCGATGCCCAGCTAGCTTCCCGCCATCAGCCTCAGCCTCCCACCCACCCCATCTCACTGCTGTGTGTGTCCTGTGCACGTCTCTCGGCAGGAGATAGTGGACTGGTTCAATGCTCTCCGTGCGGCCCGTCTGCAGTACCTAAAAATGGCCTTTCCTGAGCTCCCGGAGTCTGAGGTGAGCTAAACATGGACCCCAACTTCTGAATCTCCTCTCAGCCGTCTCCTTCTTTCCATGTCTGTTGGCCTCAAAGACACTCAGAAGCAAGACTAGGTTTGTTTGCAGGCAAGACCTCCAGACTGAGGGCTGGGCAGCTCCAAGGGAAACCCAAGGCATTCTCCAGGGGAGCCTGGGGCTTACAGCCTCAGGTACAACAAGGCAGCCTCCCAGAAGCAAGTCAGTTTCTGCCCTCAGGAGAGTGTCAAGGAGCTCAGCATTTGGCCATCTCTTTCTCACCCCTTCTCCCTCTAAAATGTGCAAATGATCCCTCAGATACTGCTCACGGAGTGCTTTGAGCCCATTTTGTACTGTGAAATGGCAGCCAGGCAGGGGTGACTATTTCCATTTTACGGATGAGATATACAGTCCCAGGAAGGGCAGGTGAATAACAAAGGTGCTTTTCCCTTTCTAACATCCCCGCTTTGCCCTGTGATGCTCTGGGCTTGGGAAAGCCTGGGATCCTCCCCAGTACAGTTGTTAACAGGAGCAGGTCTGCCCTCCGTGGTCAACAGCGTGGGGGGCCAAGAACTTCATTTGAATTGTTTCCAGACTTCTGGGGCCTTCATCTCCCTATTTCAGGCTGGGCTGGGGAGGCCCACATAGTGTGGGGCGGAGGATGCGGCCTTGAGCCGGGAAGCCTGGGCTCTCAGGGATGCTCTACTGCTCACTTGCTGTGTGACCCCTGCAGGTCCTGGCACATCTCTGAGCTTCTGTTTCCATATTAGTAAGATGGCAGTTAGTCGAGGTCATCTTCAGGGTCCCTTCTGGCTCTGAGGTTCTATGCCCTGGTCCCTTTCTTTTTTTCTTTTTGAGATGGAGTCGTGGTCTGTCACCAGGCTAGAGTGCAGTGGCACGATCTCAGCTCACCTCAGCCTTTGCCCTCCAGGTTCAAGCGATTCTCCTGTCTCAGCCTCCCGAGTAGCCAGGACTATAGGTGCATACCACCACACCTGGCTAATTTTTGTATTTTTTTTAAGTAGAGACGGGGTTTCACCATGTTGGCCAGGGTGGTCTTGATCTCTTGACCTCGTGATCTGCTCACCTTGGCCTCCCAAAGTGCTGGGATTACAGGTGTGAGTCACCATGCCCAGCCTGCTCTGGTCCTTTTCAAGAGACTCCCCTCTAAGAGGATTTTGTAAGTGATGGGAGTGGAAAACCATTTTAGTGTTGGGATTTTCTTATTCCCAACCATTAGAGGCTCCTTGAAAGCCTAACTGTTTCTTAATTCCAAGGTCTGTAGGGAGCTAGGTGTCTGGAATGGGGTCCCCTCCGGGCCCAGGGATGTGCTGAGATGGCAGCTGTCTGGGAGCAAGGCGTCTGGGTCACAGCCCTTGAGTCAGTCTGCTGAGTTTGCACCCAGAACTGGTTAATGCTGGCTCCCATGGGTGGGGACTGCAGGGTGCTGACTACTGACTGTGGGGAGGGAGGACAAAGTGCAGATGCTCAGCCTTATTTAATCTGGGCAAGCTTCCCATCTTTGCTGACCCATGTAAAGGAAATTGCTCTTCCGTCAACGTCCTCAATGTTCTCCTGCCTCTCTCATCCACTGTCGGTACCTGATAGCCACCCGTCTTTCCTCCCATTTAATGTCTGTGCGTGGTGTGAGGTTCTCAGCGATCACCAGGCCTGGCTCGAGCTTTAGGGTTCACATGTTGAAAACCCAGGGCATCCCAGTGGGGCTGTGGTCCTGTAATAAATGCATATGGTTTCTGAAGCCCAAGAGCCTGATGAGTTACCTAGGACAAGTCACCTTACCTCTCCGAGCCTCAATGCGCTCACCTGTCACCATGGCCACAATACCTACTTTCTAGGGCTATTGTGAGACTCCAGCGCGCCAAGACAGCTGAAGTGTAGGAAGCAGTGCTCCAGCCATGTGATTTGTCTTTTTCTCCCAATGGTTTCCCTAGGCTTCTACTTGCTCTTTGCTCGCTCAAATTCAGAATATTGAATAGTTAGGGACTCCATCTGTTTTCTCCAAATGGAAAAATTAAAGCCTACTGACTGTATTTTAGGAGAAGGGGAGTAGTATAGTTTATATTTTCTTTCTTATATTTAAAACATTTTTTATTTGTTGTAGAGATGGGGTCTCACTTCTGTTGCCTGGGCTGGTCTTGAATTTCTGGCCTCAAGCAATCGTCCTACCTCGGCCTCCCAAACTGCTGGGATTTCAGGTGTGAGCCACCACATCTGACCTATATTTTCATTTTTGGCTCACAACTTTCCCCCTTTTAGACTTCCCATGGCTGTTCCCCTGTGCCCCTGCCCCAGGCCATGGAGCTCTGGAGAAGCTCCTTTGTTCTTAGAAGCCTGGACTGTTGTCTGAAGCTCTAGACTTTCCAAGTTGAAATGCAGGAGCATAGGAGGCCATCATCAACCCCTGGAAACTTCTCTAAGTGCAAACTGCCAGGCTGGAAGGGATGCTGGGGAATCACATGATCCAGGTTGCTTATCGCATAGAGGAGACATAAGGCCTTGAGAGACGGAAGGTCTTACAATGGCAATGCAGCTCCTGGAGGCCAGAACTGGAGCTAGAACCGGGTCTCCCTACTCCTGCTTCAGAACTTCCGCTGTCTACTCTGGCATTATTTTCTTTGCTTTTTTTTTTTTTTTTTTGAGACGGCATCTCCCTTTGTTGCCCAGGCTGGAGTACAGTAGCATGATCTCGGCTCACTGCAACCTCTGCCTCCCAGGTTCAAGGGATTCTCCTGCCTTAGTCTCCTGAGTAGCTGGGATTACAGGCACACGCCACCATGCCCAGCTAATTTTTGTATTTTTGGTAAAAGTGGGGTTTTGCCATGCTGGCCAGGCTAGTCTCAAACTCCTGGCCTCAAGTGATCTACCCGCCTTGGCCTCCCAAAGTGCTGGGATTACAGGCGTGAGCCACCATGCCCAGCCTCTGGCGTCATTTTCTCATTACTCTGTGCCAGAATCCTGACCAATGACCAGGCCTTGCTCAAGGTCCTGCTCAAAGAGCCCTGGCCTGTTTATACTTTAACCCCCTAGTGTAATGGCTGGAGTACAGTCTAGTGTCATCAGCCTTGGGTGTGAACCTCAGCTCTTCATGCTTCCAGTGATGTGACTTTAGGAAAACCCCCAGCCCCTTCTCTGTGGCCCGGTTTCTTCAGATGTGTAATGAAGTTGGTGATACCCACCTTGCAGGGTGATTGAGAATTGCACCTGGAACCTGACGCAAAGGGGACCCTCAGAATATGTTCCCTGACACCAAGAGGGTCTCCGCAGAGCCTTGCCTAGGTCCATACGCTGGGGTTGCTGAAGGGGTCCTTACACTGAGACCTTGTCGTGCCAGTAAGCTCTGCAAACATCTGGGGTGCTGTCGACTGGCTTTGTTGAAATATTAATATTACATCCATTGCACTTTCCAAATATAATACCATGAACCATGAGCACACATCCTTCCCCATTTCAAACTTCCCCTTGGTCGGGAGCCAAGCTAGGCAGGGAACCCGGAGCCTTAGGGTGTGCGTTGGGGGTCAATGTCTCTCTCTCTTCCCAGCTCGTGCCATTCCTCACCAGGAACTACCTCAAACAAGGCTTCATGGAAAAGACTGGGCCAAAGGTACCTTCTACCATTCCTGGGGAATGTACATGGTTTAATGTGTATAAAAGGTTTAATGTGTTTATGGGATGATTTTTAAGAGGACAGTGAAAGGTGTTAGGCCAAGCTTGTCCAGCCCACAGCCCATGGGGCACTTGCAGCCCAGGATGGCTTGGAATGAGGCCCAAAACAAATCTGTAAACTTTCCTTTTTTTATTTTTTGAGACAGAGCCTCACTCTGTCACTCAGCCGGAGTTCAGCGGCGTGATCTCAGCTCATTGCAACCTCCGCCTCCTGGGTTCAAGCAATTCTCCTGCCTCAGCCTCCCAAGTAGCTGGGATTACAGGCACCCACCATTATGCCCAGCTAATTTTTGTATTTTTGGTAAAGCCGGGGTTTCACCATGTTGGCTAGGCTGGTCTTAAACTCCTGACCTCAAGTGATCCGCCCACCTCGGCGTCCCAAAGTGCTGGGATTACAGGCATGAGCCACCACGCTCAAACAAATTCACAAACTTTCTTAAAACATTATGAGATAGTTTATCGATTTTTTTTTTCTTTGCACATCAGCTATCATTAGTGTATTTTATGTGTGGCCCAAGACAATTCTTCTTCTAATGTGGCCCAGGGAAGGCAAAAGATTGGATATCCCCGTTTTAGGCAGTCGTTGTGAAAGCAAGCCTTGGGCAGGTGGAAAAAGCAGTCAAAGGGTTGTTTTCAGTTTTCTTCCCTCACTAGCCAAGGTGCAGCCCCTCCCGCGGTTCTCATTGCAGGGCTTTCTCTCCTTGCCCTAGGTCAGAGTTTGGCTGAGGCCAGCACTTTCAGCCTTGCCAAGCAGTAGCCACTTCTGATTTTTCCCAGACTTCCTTTTTTTTTTCTAACTTCTTTGTCCAAGGCCTGAGAAAGAGGAAAGTGCCTTTTACAACTCAAGGCAGTACCTGGAGGCAGCGGTGAAGCTGAGAGAGGATAGGGTGGGGTTGGAAGGGGAAGGAGCAGAACCTTCAGAGCCTGAGGGCTCCTGCCCCAGCCCCAGGGAGAAGCACTAGGGTGTCTGACTGCGGTGGCTGGGCGGGAGAACCAGTGGGACTGGCCAGCTCCCTTGACTTGGCCTGGGCTGGCCCCTGACCTCTGTCCTCAGAAACAGACTTGGTCATCCGTGGTAAGAGGTTCCCTCTTTTGCAGCAGAGAGAACCCTTTAAGAAAAGGTGGTTTGCCCTGGATTCCCATGAGCGGAGGCTGCTCTATTACAAGAACCCACTGGTAAGAGCCACTCCTGCTCCCTCTGCAGGGCTTCCTCAAACAGAGCTGGTAGTGCTTGTCTGGGACTATGTGAAAATTACAGCTAAACACACCTCCCAGGGCCCCAGAGCTAGAGAAACCTCCAGAGGAAAACCTCTACCCCTTGTTTTTGTTTCTCTTGAAGTAATCTCCTGTGGCATGAAGATTCTCTCCCCTCGCTTTCAGGAAGTCCATTATGAGTATCCAAAATGCTGCCCCTGGTAGTTAAATAAGGTGTATTTCCTCCTCTAGTCTCCAGGGCTCACTTCTAACCAAGAGGCTGTGACGTGTAGTGGTTAGGAGTGCGGTGGACTCTAGAACCCAGCTGTCTGGGATCTGGTCTCAGCCCTGCCACTTGTAGTAGTGTTGCCCTGGGCTGAGCACTTAGCTCTCTGTGCCTCAGTTTCCGCCTCTGAAAAACAGGTTTCATAAGAATGCCTTCCCCAGAGGTTACCATGATGGTTATATGAGTTACTATATGTAAAGCATTGTAATTCCTTATTTTTTTTTTTTTTTTTTTTTTTTTTGAGGCGGAGTTTCACTCTTGTTACCCAGGCTGGAGTGCAATGGCACGATCTCGGCTCACCGCAACCTCCGCCTCCCGGGTTCAGGAAATTCTCCTGCCTCAGCCTCCTGAGTAGCTGGGATTACAGGCATATGCCACCATGCCCAGCTAATTTTTTGTATTTTTAGTAGAGACGGGGTTTCACCATGTTGACCAGGATGGTCTCGATCTCTTGACCTTGTGATCCACCCGCCTCGGCCTCCCAAAGTGCTGGGATTACAGGCTTGAGCCACCGCGCCCGGCCTGTAATTCGTTATTTTAATAAGCTCTCCATAAATTGTAGGTATCATTTATTTTTTTAGAGAGTCTCTCTCTGTCACCCAGGCTGGAATGCAGTGGCACCATCACATTGCATCCTTGAACTTCTGGGCTCAAGGTATCTTCGTGCCTCAGCCTCCTGAGTAGCTTGGAACACAGGCATGCACCAACATGCCCAGCTAATTAGAAAAAAAAAAATTTTAGGGCTTGGGTGCTGTGGCTCTTGCCTTTATGTAATCCCAGCACTTTTGGAGGCTGAGGCAGGAGGATCGCTTGAGCCCAGAAGTTTGAGACCAGCCTGTGCAACATAGTGAGATCCATCTCTACAAGAAATTTAAAAATTAGCCGGACGTGGTGGCACATGCTGGCACATCCCAGCACTTTGGGAGGCCGAGGAGGGTGGATCACAAGGTCGAGAGATCGAGACCAACCTGGTCAACATGGTGAAACCCCGTCTCTATTAAAAATACAAAAAATTAGCTGGGCATGGTGGCACGTGCCTATAATCCCAGCTACTCAGGAGGCTGAGGCAGGAGAATTGCCTGAACCCAGGAGGCGGAGGTTGCGGTGAGCCGAGATCACGCCATTGCACTCCAGCCTGGGTAACAAGAGCAAAACTCCGTCTCAAAAAAAAATAAAAATAAAAAATAAAAAATAATTAATAAAAGTTTTTTGTAGAGACAGGGACTCCCTGTGTTGCCCAGGTTGATCTCATATTCCTGGCCTCAGGTAATCCTCTGCCTCGGGTTTCCAAAGTGCTGGGATTACAGGCATGAACTACCAGGCCCACCCTCAGTATCTTTTCAACAGATGATGTGTATGATTTATTTCAGGGTTTTGATCTTTCAAATTCTGGGTCCCACTTAGCAGAAACCCCAGCAGGGACACTCATACCCCTTTCCCAAAATCGAGTTTGGAGGCTGTCAGGGCTGCAGGGCCTCTCTGCCCTGGGGGCACCCTCTGATGACCCTGTACCCTCTATTTTCAGGATGCCTTCGAGCAGGGCCAGGTTTTTCTTGGGAACAATGAGCAGGGATATGAAGTCTATGGAGACCTGCCCAAGGACATCCGAGGGAATCGCTGGAAAGCCGGACTCACCATTGTCACCCCAGAGAGGAGATTTGTCCTCACTTGCCCCAATGAGAAGGAGCAGCAGGAATGGCTGGAAAGTTTGCGGGGTGTCCTGTCCAGCCCCTTGACGCCCCTCAGCTGCCTCAGTAAGAAGCAGGAACTGAGGAGTGTTATTTTGGCCAAGGGCAGAGGACAGAAAGGGGCTTCTTCACTTAGGTTCAGCTGTGATGCCACAAAAGATTCCTGATTCCTGCCTATGCTCTTTCCACTGTCTTCTCTTCCTGCAAAAGAAAAGCACAGACCGCACATTACTGCCAAAAAGTCTCCTCTGTCCAGCCCATGTTCCCCTAACAGAGCCATTCCCCAGGAGCTATTGGAGGAGCTTGGCCCTGGCAGAACCCCTGGTGCTGCCTGTACCCCTCGCAGTGTGGGGGCTGAGCAGCTTCTCTCTCCCTCCACCCTCCTCTCTGCCGATCCTTTTTCTCGTGAGAAAACCCTGGCCTGTTATTATTAGCTAAGGTCACACCCGCTGGGCAGCTCCTGGGATTTTTTGATTCCTCCCCACTGCAGAGGGAAGGCTATTTCTAGTGGCTTCTTTTCTCTGAGTCCTCCCTTCTGTCTGCTTCTCTCCTGCTCCTCCTCTTTACCCGCAGGCCTTCCTCAGTGCCGACAGCCCTGTGAAAAAAAGAGGAGACATGCTGAGCTCCAGCAGGAAACTGCTGGCCCAGGCCCTGGCTTCTGGGGCTTAAAGGAGAATTTCTGTGTTTGGAAAAGTACAGACTGAGCAGGTGACCCCCGACAGCCCCTTGGGGAAAACCCTTGTACCCTTTGAGTCTGACCGATATAAACACAAACTCTCTTGACTGTCCGACAAAGGCCAAAGCCAGAGAGCCTCAGAAAGGACTTGGGAATTGCGAGTGAGGCACTCCAGCTGGCGCTTTCTTTTCTCTGCGGGCTCCCGCTTATGAGTTTCTTGGTTTGTCTGTCTCTGTGCCTCTGTCCCTCCACTTTTCTCTCCTTTGCTGGTGTGTGTATCCTCTCTGACGGCCTGGCCCTCACCCTTTCATTCTGTTTTTTATTCTGACTCCTTCTGTCTTTTGTGTGTGTGTGTGTGTGTGTGTGTGTGTGCACACGCATTTTGCTTTTTTTGAGACGAAGTCTTGCACTGTCACCCAGGCTGGAGTGCAGTGACACGATCTCGACTCACTGCAACCTCCTCTTCCTGGGTTCAAGAGACTCTCCTGCCTCAGCCTTCCAAGTAGCTTTACAGGCTTGTGACACCACTTCTAGCTACTTTGTTTTGTATTTTTGATAGAGACAGGGTTTCACCATGTTGCCCAGGCTGATCTCGAACTCCTGAGCTCAAGTGATCTGCCTGCCTTGGCCTCCCAAATTGCTAGGATTGCAGATGTGAGCCACTGTGCCCATCCATGGCTCCCTCTGTCTTTATGCGCCTTTCCCTTTGCTGTCCCTCTCCTCCACAGGGCAGCATTGGCATGGCCACCTTCCTCAGCCCTCTTCATTTCCCTTGTAGCTGCATCAACAGAGAGTGGCCGCCACAGCAGGTGACCCATTAACTGAGGAACTGGCTGCTACTGAACACCTGGAGCTCCTGGTGGGGAGGAGAAGTTCTCACCTCGGGCCTGGCTGCCCACCGTAAGTGCCCTGCAGTCAGCAGCCATCCCTGGCAATGAACTCTGCCAAGACTGAAACGGTGGCTGTGGCTGTATTAGAACCCCATCAGCTCCCTGAGCCTTCCCCACCACCCCACCCTGGAATCTGAGGATCTGGTACACAGATGGACATCCATCCCTCCCCCATACATACCTACATACCCAGGCTTGAAATGCCCTACAGGCCCAGAACTTTCTCACATATGAGATGCAGGCATTGCAATGAAAAGGCATCCAGAGCATCATGCAAGTGACATCTTGTAAAAAAAAAAAAAAAAAAAAACAAGTTTCATCTGAATCTAACCATGAGGAAATCATCAGACAAATCCACGTTAAGGGCATTAAATTGCTAAACATCTGACCCAGAATATTCAAAAATGAAGAGTGAAAGGTGAAGAAAGTAGTCAGTGGCCAAGTGCAGTGGCTCATGCCTGTAATCCCTGCACTTTGGGAGGCCAAGGCAGGTGGATCACAAGGTCAGGAGATTGAGACCATCCTGGCCAACATGGAGAAGCCCCATCTCTACTAAAAATACAAAAATTAGCCAGGTGTGGTGGCATGCACCTGTATTCTCAGCTACTCAGGAGGCTGAGGCAGGAGAATTGCTTGAGCCCAGGAGGCTGAGGTTGCAGTGAGCCGAGATCACACCACTGTACTCCAGCCTGGGCAACAGAACGAGACAGCCTCAAAAAAAAAAAAAAAGAAAGAAAGAAAGAAAGAAAAAGTAAAAAAGGAGACGAAGATGTGGCAACCAAAAGCAATTCACGGTTCTTGATTGGTCCTGGAAAAGAAATAAGCAGCTGTAAAGGACATAATTGAGAAAATCAGGAAGTTTGGATATGAATGTATATTGGTTAATAGTATTGTATTGTTGTAATAATTGTGCTGTGTTTGTATAGGAGAATGTTCTTTTTCTTAGGAGATACATACTGAAGTATTTAGGGATAAAATGTAATGATGTCTGCAATTGATTCCTTTTTTGTTTGTTTGTTTTGAAATGTGGTCTTGCTCTGTTGTTCAGGCTAGAGTGTAGTGGCGCAATCTCAGCTCATTGCAACCTCCACCTCCCAGGTTCAAGCGATCCTCGTGCCTCGGCCTCCCGAGTCGCTGGGACTACAAGTGTGTGCCACCATGCCTGGCTAATTTTTTTATTTTTAGTAAAGACCGGGTTTCATCAGGTTGGTCGGGCTGGTCTCAAACTCTTGACCTCAGGTGATATACCCGCCTAAAGCTCCCAAAGTTCTGAGATTACAGGCGTGAGCCACTGTGCCTGGCCTACAATTAATTCTTAAATGGTTCAGCAAAAAATAAGTATATGTGTGCATGTATAACATATGCGTGTGTAGACAAAGAGAGAAAAGAAGCACAGAGAGAGAAACACTGTGCAAAATGTTAGCAACTGGCTGGGCGCGGTGGCTCACGCCTGTAATCCCAGCACTTTGGGAGGCTGAGGCAGGTGGAGCACAAGGTCAAGAGATCGAGACCATCCTGGTCAACATGGTGAAACCCCATCTCTACTAAAAATACAAAAAAAAATTAGCTGGGCATGGTGGCATGTGCCTGTAATCCCAGCTATTCAAGAGGCTGAGGCAGGAGAATTGCCTGAACCCAGGAGGCGGAGGTTGCGGTGAGCCGAGATCACGCCATTGCTCTCCAGCCTGGGTAACAAGAGCGAAACTCCGTCTCAAAAAAAAAATAATAATGTTAGCAACTGATGACTCCATATGAAGTATAGATAGGTGTTTATTGTCCTATTCATGTAAATTTTACGTAGATTTGAAAGTTTTCCAATTAAAAAGTTGTGGGGAAATGGCTGGGTGCAGAGGCTCATACCTGTAATTCCAGCACTTTGGGAGGCTGAGGTGGGTGGATCACTTGAGGCCAGGAGTTCCAGACCAGCCTGGCTAATATGGTGAAACCCCTCCTCACTTAAAAAAATACAAAAATTAGCCAGGCATGGTGGTGCCCAACTGTAGTCCCAGCTACTTTGGAGGCTGAGGCAGGATAATTGCTTGAACCCGGGAGATGGAGGTTGTGGTGAGACAAAATCATGTCACTGCACTTTAGCCTGGGTGACAGAAACCAGGTGCGGTGGCTCACACCTGTAATCCCAGCACTTTGGAAGGCTGAGGCGGGTGGATCACTAGGTCAGGGGTTTGAGACCAACCTGACCAACATGGTGAAACCCCATCTCTTTTTTTTTTTTTTTTTTTGAGACGGAGTTTCGCTCTTGTTACCCAGGCTGGAGTGCAATGGCACGATCTCGGCTCACCGCAACCTCAGCCTCCTGGGTTCAAGCAATTCTCCTGCCTCAGCCTCCTGAGTAGCTGGGATTATAGGCACGTGCCACCATGCCCAGCTAATTTTTTGTATTTTTAGTAGAGATGGGGTTTCACCATGTTGACCAGGATGGTCTCGATCTCTTGACCTCGTGATCTACCCGCCTCGGCCTCCCAAAGTGCTGGGATTACAGGCGTAAGCCACCGCGCCCGGCCACCCCATCTCTTAAAAAACAACAACAACAACAACACTAAAACAAAGTAAAGAGACACAGCACTATGGATACACGGCAGAGAAGGATCCAGTGCAGGCTCTGAGTGTGGCCCTGCCACTGACTCGAGACCACTGGAGTATTCACTTCCCCACCTCTGTGCTTTGATTTTTCTCTTTAAAATGAAGTTACACTAACTATTGAAATTCAAAGTAATCACCAAGTATTTATGACCACCTCTAAGGTGCCAGGCTCTCTGCCAGGCCCTGTGAATAGGCAAGAGATGACGTGGTCCCTGCTGTCACAGATCACAGACCGCTGGGGAGGCAGCCTCTTAACAGGCAGTACAGTGAGGTGAGCATTCAGAAAGGGGAAGAGCAGGCTGTTGTGGGACTGCGTGGTGATGGGGCTTAGCCCAGTTCAGGGGAGACGGAAGCCTCTTTCCTCTTCAGAAAGTGCCATGTAAGTTGAAACCTGCAAGCTGTTTAGAGGTTGGTCTAAAGGAAGAGGGTGAGGAAGCACTCTAAGCAGAGGGAAGAAAATGCTCAATGGCGCCAAGTTGGAAAAGAGGAACTGAAAGAAACCTCACATGGCTGAAATGTTAGAGAAACAGAGTACCAAGGCCCCTGCTCTGTGACTCATTGTTCCCTTCCTCTGTCTTCGAGCAACATGCAGAAATACACTGATGTTCTCTCTTCACTTCAGTGGAGACCCAGGGAGCTGGGAGGGTCTCTGTGGCTGGGTGTGGTGGAGATTCTCTGTGGTTGGGTGTGGTGGCTCATGCTGATAATCCCAGCACTTTGGGAGGCTGAGGCAGGAGGATCAAGACCAGGAGTTTGAGAACAGTCTGGGCAACACAGTGAGACTCTTGATAAAATGTCTACAAAGAAAAAAAAAGACTAGCAAGACATGGTAGTACATGTCTGTAGTCCCAGCTATTTGGGGGGCTGGTGTGGGAGGATCGCTTGAGCCAGGGAGGTTATGACTACAGTAACCCCTGATTGCACCACTGTACTCAGCCTGGGTGATAGCGAGACCACATCTCAAAAACAAACAAAAAGATCTGTGCCTTTTATGGGACTTTCCTTTGGGTCCTCCAATCAAAGCACAAGCAACACATCAGCCTGTTTCCTTCCTGAAGCTTCTTGACTGCCCACATAGGGAGGTGAGTCCTCTCTATCTCCTCTGTTTTGCACTAAGGGCCAGTTTACTTGTCTGCCTCTTCCACCACCTGTGAGCTCTGCTGGGTGTACTGCGAAGTTCTGGGGATGAGGAAATTAATAAAGGCACGGCCCTGCCTTCAAGGAACTTATGGTCTAGAGGAGAAGAAAGAAAGTAAACACGCAATAACAAAGCTACTTGAAGAGGCAAACTGGGATTCTAAGGGTGGGAAAGAACAGACCCAAGAGTTAAAGTCCTGGCTGGGAGCGGTGGCTCACGCCTGTAATCCCAACACTTTCTGAGTCTAAGGCGGGCGGAGTCAGGAGTTCAAGACCAGCCTGGCCAACATGGTGAAATCCTATCTCTGCTAAAAATACAAAAATTAGCAGGGTGTAGTGGCGTGCATCTGTAATTCTAGCTACTCTGGAGGCTGAGGCAAGAGCATCACTTGAACCCGGGAGGTGGAGGTTGCAGTGAGCCAAGATCACACCATTGCATTCCAGCCTGGGTGACAAAGCAAGAGTCCATCTCAAAAAAAAAAAAAAAAAAAAAAAAAAAAGAACAAAAAAAACAAAAAGTCCCAATGAAATGGAGTGCTTGGTTTTTGATGATTCCTTTCCCAAGGTTGAGTATGCCCCTATACCCTTTAAAAAAATTTATTTATTTATTTATTTATTTATTGAGATGGGGTTTTGATTTTGTTGCCCAGGCTGGAGTGTAATGGCACAATCTCGGCTCACCACAACTTCTGTCTCCTGGGTTCAAGCGATTCTCCTGCCTCAG